AACACACTTTATAATACTGGTAGTGAAGTAAATTTTTCAAAAATCTCTTTGGTATGAAAACAAAGATGGCGTCCAAAATTAATTAAAAATGTCCAAGTTAATAATAGGGTGCCAAACAATCAATATGGGGATGGAATCTTCTGCTTCAATTTGGACCTCACATTAATTTCTTCCACACGATGTCCATCAACCAGAATGTCACGGAATAATAAGAAAAAAATGATTTACCGTCAACTTCTGCTAGGAAGAAAAAAAAAAGATCCTACGTTCTCAGGTAGATGGTCTAAATGGGTTATCTCTTTTCTCTACGAGCGCTGATGAAGAAAAATGGCGACGATACCGTGAATAATTAAACTGTACCTCGACTTCAATGAGTTTTTTTTTTTATAGAATGGTGAGTGATTCTGCGGAGAAGATAATTTGAAGGCAATGTTCCAACTTTCTCATTCCTTCTGAAATAATTGAGAATTATCTTTGATAGTTTGAAATATTTGCCCCAGTGATAACGATTTTTTTTTTTTTTTTACCACAAAATTTTCACTGAATATTTATCTAGGTAAAGGATAAAATTTACGTTTTGTCATTTGAACTTAAGAAATTTTATAGATTTCACTCAAACGTCTTTGAAAATTTTCTTACATTTACACTATTTTGAATTAGGTGAATAGTTTTCATTTTAAATTTGTAATTATTATTTCTATATTAACTCCATCTATGCTTTCTTCTTGTGGTGAATCTGTATAAGATCGGTGGTCTCAATAAATCTGTATATGTGTGTTATTATTCTCACATATTTGTGATTAGGCTTTTTTAATAGGGATTTAGTGTTCTTAAAGTTAATAGTATGATTCATTTATGATGAAATTGTTTGTTTTTTTCGCGTACTTTTATGAATCCTTTACTCAGATAGTGTCTAGTATATATATAGATATGATATTGACTAAAATAAACTCTTCGAGTTATGGGTTTTAATAAGATATTTATATACAAAAATATCTTATTAAAACTCATCTCGTCTTTTGTTTAGTTATCAAAAAAGCCTGTAGAGGGACGTCCGAAAGCTTGCTAATAAAATTCGCACAAGATACCCCTCTTCAATTTCCGTTTTATTTTTTTTATAGATATGATATAACGATTGCCAAGGCTCTCAAAGACATATATGAGAATGTTAAAAATTCCATTTGTATTTTTTTCAACTAATAATCATGTTTTATATGTGTGTGTCGATATTATACATAATTATATCTTTTCGAATTTTTATATTTAATTTACTTCAGGGAAGTAAGAGTAGTGGAGTAAGGTTTTGTCATGAAGTCGTATATTAATTTACATTGTTAATGGAAGAATAATTCTTTGATGTTATATATAGATGAATTCAAGGTGATACTTCATCAACCTTTATAAAAAGTTCAAAGAAAAGGAAAAAATGCTCCAATGGCCCCCGAATTTTGTAAAAGTCCAACCCCTCCAGCGAGTGCAAGTAACCAAACGGGGCTCTGGCACATTTGTAAGTGCAAAGTTGAACTGCTTTACACATGTATAGACATGTGGTGCACTTACAGTAAAAGCAGTCGCTAACTACCCACCATGATTACCATGGCCTGTACCACATGTACTAGGGATAAGCAAAAAAAAAGTTTAAATAACAATAAACCTTTATAAAAAGATGTTTATAAATTCTTAATTTAAATTAATAAAAATTCAACCTACAATTATGGTATTCGCTAAATAGAGATATAAGAAATTTTGTCGTCATCATACTAGATTTCTTCATATTGGTACAGGGTTTCTCCTTTCTTGATATTTCACATATATAGACTCTTTCTATCTTAAATATATATACAAGGTATGTCCCATAAGTTCCCGGACTGGGTCCATAAAAAAATAAATAAATGAAAAATGTAAATAAATTTGACAGTTTATTATAGAAAAAATATCTGGCAACACGGTGGTACCAATATCGAGGCGGTACGTGCGCGCGCACCAAAGTTATTCTAATTTATTTAAAGGTTACACCTTGCGCTGCGGCGATTTTACGATGGAACAAAAATTGAAGCAGAGGATTTGCATAGAATTTTGTGTGAAACTTCAAATATCAGCAACCGACACTTTTGAAATGCTTAATAAAGCATTCCCCAATAACGCCCCAAAGAGAACAACTGTTTTTGAATGGCATTCTAGATTTAAAGCTGGCAGAATTTCCATTGAAGATGATCCTCGTCAAGGACGCCCAACATTTCAAAGGACCAATTAAAATGTGCAAAAAATCACCGATTTGATAAAAGAAAATCCTCGAACCACTTTGCTGGAGCTAGAGCAAGACACAGGCATCTCTAAAACAACGATTGGAAGGATCGTAACCGAAGATTTGAGGCTCAAAAAGACTCCTGCAAAATTCATCCCAAGACTCCTCACTAATGAGCAAAAACTGTGTCGGCTTGCAACCTGAGAGGACATGCGGGAAATGACAAGAACGGATCCGGAATGGAAAGACAAGATAATCACAGGCGACGAGACATGGGTCTATGGCTATGACCCTGAAACCAAGCGTCAATCTGCCGAGTGGAGAGGTCAGGGTGAGCCTAGACCCAAAAAATCCAGGATATTGAAATCCAGAAACAAGGTGTTGCTGGTCGCTTTTTTGGATAACAAGGGCATTGTTCATCACGAGTATCTTCCTGCAGGCCAAACAGTTATTAAGGAAATGTATTTGAGCATTCTTCGCCGTCTAAGGGAAGCGATTCGAAAAAAAAGGCCAGAAAAATGGACTAATGGTGACTGGATCCTACACCATGACAATGCCCGCCCTCACACAGCGCACTTGGTGACGAGTTTTTTGGCGAAAAACGGGACAGATATCCTACCTCAACCACCCTATTCCCCAGACATCGCACCAAATGACTTTTTCCTGTTCCCCAAACTCAAAGCAGTTCTAAAAGGAAGACATTTTGACACCAGGGAAGACATAATAGAAAAATCGCTGCTGGCATTGAAGAGCATTCCAAAAGATGCCTATAAAAACTGTTTCGACAATTGGGAGAAACGATGGCGCTGGTGCGTTGAAGCAAGGGGGGATTACTTTGAAAAGTTTTAATAAAAAAATTTTAAAAAAATCTTACCTTTTTTTTTTTTATGGACCCAGTCCGGGAACTTATGGGACATACCTTGTATATATATATTTTGCTTATCCCTAGTACACGTGGTACAGGCCATGATAATCATGGTGGGTAGTTAGCGACTGCTTTTACTGTAAGCGCACCACATGTCTACACATGTGAAAAGCAGTTCGACTTTGCACTTTCAAATGTGCCTGAGCCCCTTTTGGTTACTTGCACTCGCTGGTGGGGTTGGAATTTTGCAAGAATCGGCGGCCATTGAGGCATTTTTAAGCAGAAAAAAAGTGTCCAATGCGGGAATCGAACCCGGTTCCTAGTTGTCGAAAACCAAACGGTTTAACCAGCCTTCCACCGACCTCCCACCTCAAATATGAAGATAACTAAATCTATATTATAGATGGGAAACAAGCAGGACTATAACTAAATAGGTAAACGAGGTATTAAAAGAAAACTTATGAAGCCACAACTCTTTTTATTGACTTGATTAAAAAAGCTATCAAGCAAGCCTTTTTTCTCCTAACTAAAAACGTATAAACAAGGTAATGGAGAGAGATATTACTTGTAATCTCTTTCCATTACCCTGTTTATATGTTTTTAGTTAGCTGAAGAAAGGCTTGCCCAATAACTTCTTTAATCAAGTCTATAAAAAGAGTGGCGGCTTTATTTTAATTTGTCAAAATCCACAATTCCGTAATTATGAAACGCGGTATTGTAGAAGAATTGTTAACCATGCCAGAGTCTAATTTCCTCGAATTCTCTTATTTCTTGATAACCTTGGAAAACGTTCAGATGGACAATTGGTGTATTCCCCAGGTAGCTGGAGAAAAATATAAATTATTTCCTTTTGAACATACACATTTCAATTGATTTAAATACCCTGGATATATGTTAAATATTACAACAGGTTTCTGAAGATGAGTTGTTTTCATTGCATACAAAATCTCGCCTAATATATAAATTTATATCTACATATATAACTAGTTAGTATGTCTAATGGCGTTTGTTATTATTCGTTTTAAGAACTCCTTTTGAAGGGCAGAGATGCCCGAAAGCTTGATATTACATTAACAAAAATAAAAAGAAACTTATCTCCAGAATCCTGTAATAGTATTTAATTAACACACGCATTTATTTAGGATTGTGTTCCGGGGAAAGACACAATCAATAGGTTATTCTAGTACTAAATGAAATGCTGGAATCGTTTATGTGAAAGAAAAATGGCTTTTTTAAAAGGTATAGCAATATGCTTGCGTAAGGTATGTTTCAGTAATCTAACAAACTAGTCATTTTTCTTCTACTAAATGATTCTTTCCTGTGTTTAGATAAGAAAAAAATCGAGAAAACATAGAAATCCATTTTGAGATAATTTATCAGGAATGTCAATCGATCGAATTCTTCTGGAAGTGCAGGTATTGTTCCGTCAGCTCTTAGTGCCAATTTACAGCCAGACTTGTCAGACATTACTACATTTTTGGAAATCTCTTTTCACTTTATCAGAACTCCTTGACAATTTCTATTATATTGTCACTTGGAAAATTAGGGAAGACCAACTTCGGGATGAGACAACAATTTATTTCAGGCAAGAACAAACTATGAAGGATATACAAAAGATAAGGAGAATGAGGAAAGTTTACAGAGTAGTAAACTTTTTTTTTGCTTATCCCTAGTACACGTGGTACAGGCCATGATAATCATGGTGGGTAGTTAGCGACTGCTTTTTTTACTGTAAGCGCACTACATGTCTACACATGTGAAAGCAGTTCGACTTTGCACTTACAAATGTGCCAGAGCCCCGTTTGGTTACTTGCACTCGCTGGTGGGGTTGGACTTTTGCAAGAATCGGGGGGCCATTGGAGCATTTTATTTTTTTTTTAAACAGAAAAAAGTGTCCAATGCGGGAATCGAACCCGGGTCATAGTGGTCGAAAACCAAACGTTTAACCAGCCTTCCACCGACCCCCGTAGTAAACTATAAACATAAAAAAATGATACTCTGTTAATACTAGTGTAAAATAATAAATGCTTGCAAAATAATAAATACTCCGCTACAATATATTTCGGGGGAAAGAGGGAGGGGTAGAAGGTTAAAAATAATATAAAATTCTATTCGAATTCGGTTACTATTATAAATTAGCCTAAAACACACTGGTATTAGAAATAACACGAAAATACGAATAGAAAATAGGTATTATATGTGGTGTCTTGTCCATTCTCCCATGGAAAGGGGGAGGTGTGCCATTTCCCCGTTAGTCAGCTACATTTCAGAGTTCCCTGTTCACGGTTACCGTAGCGGCTCACGACACCGTACTTCACCCTACAGGGCAGTCTCTTACTTGTGCTGCTTCTCCCTCCTGCCACGTAGAGGAGGACTTCTGGGCAGGTAGGTATTATATAAAACTTCTTCTTCTTCTTTCTTATCTCCACACTGGGTGAAGTAGAATGGTCTGCCTTTGTCATTAAGACTGGGAGCACTACTCAGTGGCAGGCCGACTTAGCTCCAAAATAAATGGCCGCCTCTGACATGAGGAACAGACGCCATGTGCAGCCGCTCCTAACATGGAGTACAAACGCTGCTCATCCTGCATTCCTGGATTAGGAGCCCTTACAGGGTACTATCAGCCGGGCCAGCTGAGCCCAGGTTTTTTAGTGAGCTTGTTACTGCTCCCCCTCCTCCTTTTTCATCCGGGCTTGGGACCAGCAAGGGCGGAGTTATATAAAACTTATTTTATGTCTACTGGGTACATTGATGTACACTAGTGGACACAAAATTCAAGATAGTTAATATATATGGTAAAGGAGATTTCCGAGGACACATCAACATTCTCTGCGCGCCAACGTCTTTTATTGCTACAAAATGAGAAAAACGATAAGCTTTCGTGGAGAATATTTTTGGCCTATATCTGTGTCTTTCAGAAGTTTAATCATTTTCAAAAAATGATGGAGATCTTGAAAAGAGATTCTCCGAAAACATAAATTTATCGTTTTTGCGCAGCAATTAAATAAGTTGGCATTAAGGAAACTATTTGTGTTGTATTAATATAGATAGAATTTTTCTAGGAGGAAATTGATCTATGAAATCATATGGCGAGGCGCCATAAAAAAGGAGTCAAAACTAGACGCTATCTATTGATCGTCGCCGCAATCTAGCGGCCTCAGATCGGTGACAAAGCCACAACACCAGCTTTGGCAAACTGAGAAGAGTCCACCTGGAGACCATGATTTCGACGCTTATTTTGACGGGAGATGCGCCATATTCTTATATATATGTTATAAATAAAAATGAATAGAGATATTTGTTGAGCAGTCGTGGCAATGATTAAATAAAATCAGTTATCAAATTAGATTTACTTGAACTTATGGAATATATAAAAAAAAACATGGTTTGATAAAAGTACTGCCTGGCTTAAGGCGAGTAGAATAAAGAAAACAAAAATTATTTACATAATGTACAAAGGTTTTGAGCCGGCCATTTGAATAAAACAACAACGAGTTTATATATGCAAAGCGTGACCTCTGGCGGTCGATTTAACAGAATATTTGAATCTATGAACTTATAATTTAAAATAGAATAATATTTTTATATAACATATATATATATGGTGATTTGTGAATCAGTCGAGATAGTTGTGTGAAAAGTGGTAAAGAAACACAGGAGACAAGATTCAGAGACAAAAAGCCTTGAGGAGTAGATCGAGAGGAAAGAGCGAAGGTCCGACAACCACCCTGGGAACATCCGGTGTCGAGACCACCTCGGTGCGAACTGCCACTTGTTCATCACATCCTGCTGCTTTTAAGCCTCTTTGAGCAAGAGAAAATTCCCCCCTGGGGGGTGAAGGCTTGAAACCTGGTGACCAAGGGGTTGGTTCGATATTCTTTATTTGATTTTACCTTTCCTTATATTCCCACACAAGCCATTTTATTTATATATTGTCGCGTATATGAGCCTTCAATACACCTACAGCCTCTGGCAATAGATGGCGCTTTCGCCTATTTCCGGTCTGGAAATAATGTGGGAATCGCCGACTGCTAGGAGGTAGAGCAACGGGAGCCTGGATAGGTGAACCACGGCGGAAGAAGCGCGTCGTCGCGAAGAACTGGAGGGGCCAAGCCGCAACAATATTTTCAAATATTATGATATATATAGGCAATTCCATATTAAAATTATTATACGTATTAACACATTTACGATGCAATTTTTGTATATCAAGAGCATCAGTTCTGAAGATTCTCGAACAGTTTGAATTGTCAGTTTTTAACGATATTTCTAATTTTCGAATTGATTTCTTTACATTACGACAAAAAATAATTTTTGCACAGCCCATTAAAATAACGAACATCAAACAAGAGATGACATATATAGTCTGACAATTGATCCTTCACGGCGGAGTGAGCAAACAGTTGACCGAGATATGGACAAATCAATTTCAGACCTGAATTGAGAGATCCATCGCCAGGATCCAATCCATCTTGTGCCGGACCATCCATCATCCAGCTGTACATGCCTCTAAATATCAATATTTCTCTTACCTCTCACCATAGTCCAATCCTTCCAATCCCTTTCTCTATACTAGCTCCAATGTTAACTAACCTCACAACCTAACCTTAACTTAATTAATTTAGTCATGCTTGTAAAGACTTTACGCTTGATTAAGGTTAGTAAACATGGAAGCTAGTCTCAAGACCTTCCGCTTTTATTCACCTCCACATAACCTCTTCAGTAGGTCGAACAATGTGCCCTATGTGTCAAATTGTTTGAGCCCATTTGGATATATACAATCATCGATAAAACTTAAGGAAGTTGTACCTTTTAGCATGTATATTGGGATTCAGACAATAACTATAAAAGATATTTGATATACAATGACCTTTATTGAAGTCACATGAAATAACCAAGTGTGAACAAAATTGTATCTGTCTCCTTAAGACGACCGGAAACACCAACGACTTTCCACTTGCTTAAGTTTTGTCCATGAGAAAATATGATAGTTCTTTAATTATATTAATTATATTTTGATGAGTGGGAACTTCGTCTTTATCAACTATTATATTTGGATATATATCTATAGAACCACAATAGTAATAATAATAAAAATGGATATATCAGAATTATATACACAGTTTATTTATTAACAAACAAACATTTCTCTATGATCTTGTCTCAGTAGAATAAATAAAGAAATTTGCAGTCGTACCTTGCATTTGAATAACTAACGTTGTTTTTCATTTCCTTTACTCTGATCAGTATTCTCTATTAATAGGAAATTCTCGATGCTCCTTCAATTTAGTTATAGTTCTGTAATTGAGAGAAATAAATGTAATAAAAAAAGAAGAAGAAGAAATACAATAGCTGTAGAAATAAAATGGCAGATGGAATGTTGTTATTAAATTCGCCTCAGTGATCCCATTGTTCGGCAATACTATAACAATGTCTCCAACAACAACAATAATCCAACAATTTGCTAGTGGCTTAATCCAATTCCCTATTGTTTATATATTCGAGTAGAATAACTTTCTTGTTGTTGATGTAATAATGTCGCTGAGTCCTCCTGGTGTGTGTGTGGATAGAATTAATAATATATACCCTATACTCGTATATACCGTGATTGTATGTAATTAATTATTTATTGTTTCACTCTATTCAATTACTGCTATATTTTGTCACATATAGTTTCTATATACTCGAAAATTGTATGAACTGTATTTAAAATTGCGATAAAAAAATTGTTTTAGTACGTTTCTTCTACTAAATATAGGCGAATCTTTGTTCTTTAACAAGGCAAAGTGTTAATTTAGTTAGATTAGGTATAATGACATTGCACGCCATCTATAGTTCAAATTTCACAAAAGGCCTATAATATTAAGTGATCTTTAAAGAGAAAATTTAGATATTTCTTTTCATATTTTTCGGAAATATTCCACAATATCAGTTTATTAAACATATATTTAATATATATAAAGTTCTCTCTGTGTACGGTCAGGGTATCCCTTTTTAATTTTAAATATATATATGAACATAAAGTTGTGCGGTAGGATGATATTCATTGTACCAAAAGAGGCACTTATCTTTTTAATAGTGCAGCAGAACAATGGCACTTCGCATCGCCCTAGTAAAAAAAATCACTAGTGTTGATAACGAATGAGCCATAATATAGGTTTTGCAGATTCAGACAAAATATCAACGTGTATACCATAGTTTCGGGCTTTGACCCTCATCAGTACAGGGACAGCTATATGTGTATTCAATAATTTTACTGTATGGAATATTTCACTACTCTCTAACAATGATTCTTTATTCCATTATAAAAATCAAATTGGCAAGCTATCGTATATTGAGAACTCTTCTACAGGCCTGTGTTTAAAGAAAGAAAATAAGTGAAGAAAAGATATATATAGATATCGAAACACGAGTTTAGACATGAGATATAATCTTGCATGGCTGAGGAAAGACATTAGAATTTTGTATTATGTATAAAAGAAACATTCGTGCTTTTAAATCCTTTCACTTTATAAATATACTTGTGTTCACACTATCAAAAAAAATAATCCGTTATATATCAATATTAGAGGGAAAACATTAGATTTCTAGTGATTCTTCAAAAAAAAATTAACTCAGATTTTTAAAGCTACGAGAATGAAGGCTCTTCTACAGGATAAAATACGAGACAATAAATCGCCTAGAGGACAAGAGTTATAATATAATATTAGATTGTTATATATAGTCTAAGTATACCTTGTGTCCTATCGGCGATTTCTTATATCGCAATTTTTCCTGTAGATGGGCTTTTTCATGCCCTAAAGCTAGAGATCTGAATTATTTTTTAAAATAAACTTATCCCTGGAAGCCTAATGTTTCCACTCTAAAATATACTTGTATTAAACTTATTTTATATTCTTATATTTACATATTGTTACTGTTACATATTGGTTTTTTCTTGGAAGGTAAGGAGCGAGTAACGCAGTTTATATAGTACCAAATATA